TGCTACTGCTACTGCTACTGCTACTGCTACTGCTACTGCTACTGCTACTGCTACTGCTACTACTACTACTACTACTGCTACTGCTATTGCTACTGCTACTGCTACTGCTACTGCTACTGCTACTCGTCCACGGTCCGCACTTTCCATGCTTGCTGAATAGTTGAGCGCTGTGACGTTGCTGCCCAAGTCACCGCTAGAAAAGTTCGATTTAGCGGCTGCCTCTTGCGCGTCAACTGTTGAATCCTGTAACAACATGTTTCTCTGCGCGTGAAACAGCCGATTCAGCGAACGTGCGCTTTGTGTTTGTCTTGTGCCAACTCCCATGTTCACAGCACGGCATGTTTGGAGTACCAAACCAGCGCATAATTTAGGGTCATGGTCGTGCGATGTCACGAACATGATGTCAATGCGTGTTCTGCGGTTGTTGACCAGCGGGTGATGTGTGAGCCAGCTTAGCGTTGCTGTTGGATCAAAGATCTAAGCTTACAAAGGGCTGTCAACCAACAAGCCCGACCGTGCCCTTGCTACCAAACGCGTTTTCATGTTTGAGTGATTACTTGCAGAGGGATCAAAGCGGAGGATATGAAGAAGTTCCTATGTAGATTTGTGTGCAGTCGCAGCCCAACCCATCGACATATTCGACGAATTCACGCAGGAGGTTCCGTGCCATGGATCCAACTCTTGCCGCCCGCTTCGCTCGCCAGAAGGCTGCATTTGATGCGTTTGGGCCAGATTGATTTGATTTCGCTTCACTTGTGAGGCTGGAAGTTTAGGGAGCATCGTATGGCACGTGCAGGAGAAGCATGAAAAGGGCGAGGAGGTCGCCGAGATTGGATCCCGAGCAAATCAAACGACACAGTTGGATCCTGTCCTGGCGCAAAGATGGGTGTGGCTGACACCTTTTCCTGCCATTTGCTCAGCGCCTTGCAAAAGCAAAGTTTCGATGACATTGATGCCAGGAGAAGCTGCAGACAGGAAAATGCGCAGTGGAAGATGACATCGGTTCCAAAGCGGATGCCCAGCTCGACTGTGAGCAGTTTCGACCTTGCATGTGTCGATGTATATTGTGTCTGGATGTCACGCACATGAGAAGGAGTTTTGGGGCTCTAGCCACTCTGGACCGTTGGACTCCACACAGATTTTTGGTCTGAGCTGTGAGGAAAGAACCGTGAAGCTGGACCCAAAGCTTGCGAAACGCTGGTCTCAGCAACAGGCGGGCAGCAGTATGTTGGCTGTCAGGAATTCTGCAGAGTGTACAACTTCTTGATGAGGAGCTGGTGGACTCAGGGCTCTACGAAGTTGAAATAGGTTCCACGGCAGACCAATCAACGCCACGCAACCGCAGTCAGCTTGGAAGGGAGACGCTGTTTTGGGATGGTGTTGGCGTGTTTGCTCAGGAAACTGGATCCTGTCCTCGCCAAGCATTGGGCAGCAGCCCACGAAAGGTCTTTGGCAGGTAGCCTGGAAGGGCATAAAAGTCAGCTGAGCTCTGTGGATGACATGTAGATGGAATTTTATCGCTAACGCGACCACCTCGGTTTCGGTAGTCGAGGCAAAGGTAGTTGGAAACCGACGGAGTAGGGGGTGGGTTAAACTACTCCTNNGATCTAAACGACCCAGGCCTCCGGCTCGGCGGATGGTACTCTCGAAAAGCAATGCAGTATGGATTGCCAAGGCAAGGAATACCCAGACCCGGAAGAAGCAGGTCCCAAAGTGGACTTCTCGAGGAACCGCAGCTTGCAATCACTTGCCTTGGTAGAATATGTGTGGCATTAAAGCCAGTGTACCCAGAGCCAAACCCTGAGCATCCGGGGTAGCTGTTGCAGGAAAGACACAGAGCTTGCAAAGCGATTTGCCAAGTTGCAGAGACAAGCCCAAAGGAACGAAGGTGACTCCCAGCCGCCTTGCGAACGCCTCCTGCTAAGCCTTGCACCTTGACAAGGTGGAGAGGCAAAGAGATGTCAGCTGCAATTTTCTGTTGCCTTGGCTGCACTGCTATGAAGTTTGCAGTTATGTCGCTAAATGCCGCGCCATGACTTGAGCAGCGTTTCTTTCCGCATGAAAGAGCCATGATGGCCGTGAAGCTGCAAGACT